AAATAATTTGGACCATTTAAGCAAAGCGTGTTATAAACTGTGTCTTTAAAAGTTTTCATTTATTTGTGTGCAAAAATAAAATATTAATAGTTTTTGTGGAGCATAAAGTAAGTTAATTCATATTTTTGACTATGAACGAACATGTCAATGCTTCATTTTAGCAATTATTTATATAAAAAAAAATAAGTTACAGTTAAAAAATAAGATCTTATATTGTTTGAAAAATGAATGTTGGAAATCTAAAGTTGGAATAAAAGATCTGAAAGTTGGAATGAGCTTAATTTTGGATATATGAGCGCTAGGGGCTTATCGTAACAGGGGTTATGGGCCCCTGGGTAAAGATTAAAAAGGGTAAAAATTATAAAAAGCCTTTGTCAATAAGATTTTAAATGATGTTAATATAGTTTTTTTCCCGTATTATGTGCGTAATATAAAATTATGATGTAGTTTTGCAGGGTAATCATAAAAGTTTGGTTTGCGTTATTATCACCGACTAATTGTTGATTTTATATATTTTATTTTGTTTTGAAATCTTCAATCTTTGATAGTGTGTATCAATTTTTGTGATCGCTAAATTTTCTAAATAGTTATAATGATAAATGTAAAAAAATCAAATGTGGGGTTAGTTGTAACAAAACCCTAGGGCTAGTTGTAACAAGCAAGAATTATATACATGTTCAAGTGAAAATGATTAGATTGTATAATTTGTTCGAAATGGAAGACTTACAATTGCGACATCAGATCTTTTATTTGTATTAATTGTAGTTCACGTTGATTTAGAATAAGAATTTCTCTGACAGGAGACAATATATATTTTATGTATATTAATCATAGTTTACGTTGTATCATTTTTTTTATTATAATTTTATTTGATCATCTATCTACAAGAGATATAAAATCAATTGCATGGCTTAGAATTGAACAAAGAAAGGAAAAGCTAAGATTGCGTCCAGTGAAGCAGTTCTTTAGAGTATGATATAAACGTTGTATCATGAAAAGAATTATTTAGCAACATGTTAGTTTTCTTAAAAACAGACAAAGTTATTATATAATCAAAGGTAAAAATGAATCATCAAAAAATTCTTACAAATAAGCAGAGGTAAAATAAATTATCAAAGCTATTATTGCCATTTATCTACTTGCGCCAAGGTAGATGTTACAACTAGCCCCAAACACGGGGTGAGTTGTACCGGCGCACGTTTTCTAGAAAATGATTAATTGTGAAATAAATAATAATAGTTATGGAATTATTTTACTTGATTTGGTCGAGGTTTAGCTGCAGCATCTATTCATCTTTATTTCGTAAAATTGAAATCAGTGGTTCTCAAGATATTATGTTAAAAAATTGTTACAACAAGCTTCTAGCACCCCTGCCAGAATTTGGCATAATCCTGGCCAAACCAATTTTCTAATTATTGCAATTAGGGTTGATAAATATTATTAATGTCGTACTACGTCATAACAATTATTTCTTTACTTATCCAACTTTTGGCAATGAGATCACATTAATCCATTCTATCACAAAAATCACTCACTTTTCAATGCCCACATTTCCCGGCGCCTCAGCGCGCGCAAGAAGCGCTCGCTCTGGCTCTTGCACTTAACATTTTCACTTTCGGTCGGCACTATCACTTTCGGATAACTCGCCCACAGGTCGAGCACATCGAAAATCGGCACTTGTTCAACAGCAACATTTGCAACACTAACATTTTGCCGCGCTTCAAATCCATTCGCCCGCACGTCATTCCTGGTCGAATTCTGAACGGCATCGGTGGTGCAAACATTGTGGAAAGTGAAAGTCGCTTTAGCGGTGACTAAGAAGAATGTTAGTAGAAGTGTTGATGAAGTCTTCGGCAGGGACATGGCGCGCGTTCCGCCGTGCGCTTTTGGACTAAGCGGGTTAACGAATGCGATATCGGTTATATATCGCGCCTTTTGATTGCGGCTGCAAGACGCGTCCTTCAAAAAGCTTCGAGACGACGCGGCGGATAAAGCGATACCGGTGGAGTAATCGCGGAATCGCGATTCCAGTTTGCTTACTGCGAATGCGTGTGAGACTCTGGAACGAATGAGTAGATATTTGCTCAATGAGACGTACTCGTACGCATTCCGAGAGCAACAGGTAGGATGCTCTTCACGCAACTTTCGGGGACTGGTCAATAAAACACGCGTTTCATTAATATGCAACTTGTATGGCTTGCGATGTCTTTGTTCATTACCATACAAACACTTGTAATTAATTTTCAATTTCAATCACATGCAATTTGAAATTGTTGTTCAACAAATTATTTTTCTTTTTTTTATTAACTGCCCGTAGGGTAAGTTATTGTAATGAACCGAAAATCGATATTGAAATTTTTTACATTTTTCGACGTTTTGAAGGTTTCTCAACATTTTGGCATACCTCAGAAAAAATGGATGTGTGTGTGTGTGTGTGTATGTGTATGTAAATTTCCAGTCACGTTTTCGGGCGCACGGATCAACCCATTCGAATGGTTTAAAAAACATTCGATTTCTATTGATAGGGAAAAGAGCTGATTAGTTTTTGGCGAAGGCAGGTCCAGTCGTTTCGGAGATACGGAGCAAAGAGTGCAGAAAATAGAAATCGAATTTTTGAGAGAACGGAGCATCCGATTTGAATGCTATAAAACATTCAATTCAAATTTGAACTAAAAAACATTCAATGAGTAATGATTGAGAGAAGTGTTCATTAGTTTTTGGCAAAGACAGGCCCAGCCATTCTGAAGATACGCAGCTAAATATGTAAAAAATGTCAGTTTTTGAGAGAACCAAACGTCCGATTTAAATGATTCAAATAACCTTCTGCTTGTCTTAACAAAAATAATTGATTTTGGAAAAAAAAATTTTTGTTTCAACTTTTTTTTTTAAAAAAAGATTTTTTTTGTATATCGAAAATAATTCAAATTTTATTTTTAATTCTGACTATAGTTCTAATATACTTTAAACAAATAATTTCAACTTTGCAATTCAGTTTATATAATTCTTATAAAATTAGAAAATGTTACAATATTGATAATAATCTATTTTGAAAACATTCATTATTCCTCGAACATTTCGTTACGGTACGGGAAGTTCCAGCAATTTGCCTTAATTCACGATGCCTACACCCCACTAGTTTATTATTTTATCAATCAAGGATTTGCTTGAGTATTAAAAAAACTTTTAAATACAATATACAATATACATAATAAGTAACAAAAATTAAGAAACTAAAAGAAAAATTATAAAATAAAAAAAGAAAGAAAAATATAAATGAAAAACATGGCGTAGTGAAAGGTGTTGCCGACTAAGATTTTTTGGTGATTATATTTTATTTTAATAAAAATACAAGCGAAAATTCTAATATCAAATATTATAGACAGTTGTAAATAAAATAGTTAATAAAAAAAAATAAAAATACATGGCTATTTGATATTAAAATTTTAGCTTATTTGTATAGGAAGCTAGAGGCTTGTTGCAACAGTTTTTTTAAATTACTATATTTAGAGATCCACTGTAACTGTTCCTTTACCGAATCAAGTAAAAATAATTCCTTGACCGATGTTCATTATTTCATAATTAATAAATTTCTAGAAAAAGTTCTGTATTACAACTTATCCCGTATTTGGGGCTG